TAGCATAGCCATCGAAGGCGCCGGGCAGCGGGTGGTGGCTGCTGTTGATCAGCGCCTCCACCGCGTCCTCGGGGCTGAAGCCCAGCGCCTCCGGGTTGAGCTGCTGCGGGTAGCCCGTCATCCAGTAGTAGTCTTCCAGGTGGGTCTTCTGGTCGGTGCCGGAGCCGGGGCTGGGCGCCGAGAAGCTGGGGGACGGGGGCACCGAGCTGCAGGGCGTGCTCATCGGGGTGGAAGAGAGCGATCCCCCGGCGATCAAGCGGCCGCACTGGCTGATAATGCGATCGGTCTCCACCGGCTCCTTTTTCACTTCAAACTTCATCAGATCGAAGTCATTAACATATTCCATGGCCAGGGGACTGGTGGGCAGGTCGGAGCCGCTCATTGCCAGTTCTGATGCCATCCTTTTGCTGCTGACAGTCCTCCAGAAAGGGTGCGCTCCGGGAGCGAGGGGACTGCTCTGAGTTGCCACCGGGTGAGCCAGCTTGATTTTTGGCGAGCTCCGCTCCGCTCGCTCTCTCCCCGCCTCTGCCTCTCGCCGCGGCCCCCCGCCGGCCCCGCCCCGGCCCCGCCGTTCCGCGTTATCCTTCGCAGAGTCTCCGCTGCCGCTGATGCATCAGAGCGAGGGGCTCTTTCTATTCGCCTTTTGCATAAAGGGTGGTGGATGGTGGGTTATTTTTTTTTCTCTCTCTTTTTTTTTTTTTTCCTCCTCTCTCCCTCCCTTCTCTCTCTCTTTTGCAGCTTGCAAACTGCAGCTGGAAGTGTTAGCTGGTGTTGTTGCGAGGAGATTTGCTTGTTGTTGTTGGTTTGGTTTGGTATTATTATTTTTTTTTTTTTTTTTAACACCAGAATTGTGTGTATTCTACAATTTATAATTAAATATTTATCATCTAATATCATTACATTGTTGATTATTATCGTTATAGTATTGAAGACACGCAAAAAAAAAAAAAAAAAATCAAAATCAAAGTCGAGATCGCAACCAAAATAATAATAATAATAGTTAAAAAAAAGAGAGAGAGGAAAAATAATAATAAAAAAAAAACCAACAAAACCTCGACCCCAAAGCTACGGCAAGAAGATGAAAAATATTTTAAAGGTTTCATCCAGCAGGAGAGTTTAAAAGCATTGCTGAGTTTTATAGCGCTCCTGACGTCAAATGGGAAATTGACTCGGCGGGCGGACCAATGGGCTGCCGCCGTCCCAGCCCTCATTAGCATAATAGTATAGAAACAAGGAAACTTTTCGGAGCTGTCAATCAGGGCCCCATCAGCTGACTGTCAGCTGGGGACCGCCTTAACCCCTTCCTGCCCGCCGCGCTCACCGCCCCAGCG